GTGCATCACGTGCTTTCCCAGATAGATACATCGTTTTCGCATTAGTAACGGGCAATCGGTCAAAATGTGCAAAGGTGTTTCTTCTTCCTCCTTGCATCCTCTGCACATTCTACTGTCGCTGATCCCCATATTGTGCATGTGTCTGTTCAGTCCACAATGCCCTGTGAGTGCTCGTACTAGTGTGCGAAGGTGAGTTTTGGTTAAGTTTAAGGCCTCTGATGCCGCCTTTTTGTTGAAGGTTTTAATCAGGGTCTTAGAGTGTTTCATACCGGGAGTGTTTCTCCATAGTTGAATAGCTGCGTAGTGGCAGTACGTTTTCAAGGTGAGCTGGGTTAGGCTTTGAGGGATGCCACAGAAAGGTTCTGGTCCGATAAGGGCGTCTTTAGCACCCTTTTTCGCCAGTTTGTCCGCCTGTTCATTGCCCTCGTGTCCAGCGTGCCCTGGAACCCATCGTAGAACTACTTTGTTGTTGTTGCCCAAAGAGTTCAGTGCCTGTTTGCAGTTCTCGACCAGCTTCGATCTAGTTATGTCGGAAGCTAGTGCTAAGAGTGCAGCTTGACTATCAGAGTGGATGTAGATAGTATGATTGAGGTAGTTATTTTGCAGATTGGCTGCCGCACATTCCAAAATGGCGTACACCTCTGCCTGGAATATTGAGGAGTACTTTCCCATGTTCAGACTTATAGCCTTCCTTGGGGCTTCTCCATGAATTCCACATCCTACCTCAGGACCGGATTTGGAGCCGTCAGTGTACCACTTTAGGCTTCCATTTTTCCATACTATACGATTGTTTGACCAGTCGTCCCTGGTGGGTATCTCCACAAGATATGACCTGTGTGAATCGATTCTCGGGGGCATGGTGTCAGTAGGCATCCCCAGGATTGGTATATTGCATATTGAGTCCTTCAGGTGCCTCAAATTACCTGACAGCCATGTCTTCGCCTCCATGCTAGTAATACGCACACGTAACTAAAATCTAAAATCGCTTACAAATGCAAAATACTGCCACGAGAAAAGTACAACAATATTTAATATATCACTTTAAATATGGGGCTAACAAAAAGTGTGGATAATCAATTCGATCCGTTAAATACGGTACGTGGCCTTACCTGATAGTAGACTCCTTATCGTATTGTTGATAAAATAATTCTCTTCGATTTAATGAACGTTTTCAAAAAAGTAGCACCAATTGGAAATACCTACACGTCAGACGATTTTTGACCGCGTTTGACATTGACAGTAACGTTTAGTTAATGCTGCGTGAATACAAACGCCACGTATTGACGACTATAAAGCCGGCGTTACACATGTATACCTGCAAAAAACTATATCTATAGTGTCCTTTTTAGGGAAATTTCAAACACGGATTTGAGCATATTCTTTTTTTTGTGCACAGCCCTTTATAGGACTGTCCCCCGGGTTTAACTTAATTTTTATTCAACAAGATAAAATATATTTTGAGATTTATTATCAGAAAATGCAATTCACATATGTTTTATTTTGTAATTAATAAATATTTTTTCCATTGATTCGAGCAGAACTAATTTCGTATGTCCCCTCATCAAATACTATGCTTTATTATGAAAAATAATAAATGTTTTTGGTAGAAATCACATAATGTATTTGGCTCATTTTATACTTAAATATCGACAGCAGTTATATATGCTAAAATTTTCTCAATTGTTTACAGATATTTTATTAAAATTAGAAAAATTGACGCGTTTAAATTTCTGTACAATCCGGAACTTTCAGTTTTGCCACCGTATTTTAACTACAAAAGCTCCCCTAATATAAACATTTCTTTTTGAAATGGAAAAATTTAATGCTTCTTAACACAAAAACGTCATTTTAAATTTTGTGTCAAATTAGTGCAGCTTGTAAACAAGACGTGTTAAAGTGACCCTACGGACGAACACATTTTTAACTCAGGTTTGTGTCTTTAATTATTTGTTTTTTAATTGTTCAAAATTTCTATCAATTTTACACGTTATTGTAAATTCAATTTAGTATTCAGTAGTTATAAATTTCAAACGCCAGGCACGATTGATAATTTTTAATTTATTTTTTAATGCATGTGGGTAAATATATGTGACTTCCATTTTATGACTATTTTGCTGGTCACATACGGGCTGAACCAAAAGTTACTACATGACTGACCTCATAAAGGTTCGTTCATAAAGACGTTAATTACTTTTTATCAAGCTAAATTATGATCTATTTTTGAGTACCTGCCTACTTATTTTTTACTTGTGTAATAAATAGAAATACCTACCATTATCCGGTTTATTAGATAGTTCTAAGATATAAGATACCTAAGGTCAATCGTTAAAAGAAAAAAATATCTCTAAAAATAGTGCCATATAGACAAGCCTTTACTGTTTTCGGAAGTTCAGTTTTGTCACTGTCCCTTAATTTCGAAAGAGAAAAACTAAAATTGTACTATTTATTCTGGTTTAAGGGTATAGTATTAAGTATCACTTAGTGTAAAAATTAATTTTATTAAAATAGATGGTCTTGCAATCTCAAAAAACTTAATATTTTCAAAAACAAATTAAAAAAATTGTAAAGAAGTATCATTAGTCACAAAACTGATGAACAAAGTACATTTATTTCAGGATTCTTGAATTGAGATATACGTTTTTAAGTTTTTTAGTTAATATACATGTCAGATATTTAAAAATAAATAAATATTTTTTAATAACTGCAGTAGTTTTTTTTAATTGGTCTTTACAAATAGTCACATAACGGATAGCACTACACGACTTGTTCCAATTTGTTTAGGTATATCTTTAAATAAAACTTATATTTTGGCGTTTTCTACTATATTTCCATTATAAGATAGTATAACCATTATAAATATATAATAAAGTTTACCTTAAAATATAAAAAATACCAAAACATGAGTGATGAGAGTTCGCACAAAAAATAAAATATGCTCATTTGTAGTTCATCACGACATGAGCCAGTTTTTGTACATAAATCAAAGTAAATTAACTTCAATTTCCGTAACCTTTTTGTAGTAAAGTGAGCTGTTGTGGTGTTCTTGAATTTCTGAAGCTTCTTCAAACAGAATCATCAATACGGGATCCTAAAACAAAGAGCATAAACACCAAAAACCTATAAAAGGCCTAACTTCGAATATAAAATAGTTTCTCTATGACATTATTTAAATATTTTGTAAATATGTAAAGGACATTGCTCAACGTCCATATAATGGTGGCCCCAGAGCCAAAAAAATATAGGAAAATACTTATTTTATTGTGTGTCACTAACTAATTCTGATTATGTATTTATTATACCGCGACCGAGTTTTAGAACTTATTATCACGTAAAATATTTTGAGGTTATAATTTGTTTGGAAAACCACTAAGAGATGGCACTCTAAGTACATGATATGATATTAATGTCTATATTGTCGAAGCAAAAAAACTCAACTTTAAGAAAGTCGGTTTTTCGTTGTGATTTGTAAAAGTTTCTAAGTCAATCAATAGACAAATAAATCATTCTAATAGTTAAATAATATACCTATTGATAAGCTTAAAATTAAAAAACTTATAGCTTTTTGATGGTTTACATCAAAAGATGGCGCCTTAAATACATAAATGACATGATGTTAATATGTTTACGAGAAATATAAAGATAATGTAATAGAAACAAAGTAGTTTTTAGGATATGTCGTATGAATTTAAATCTTTCTGAATAAACAGGAGTGAATTATCAACAGTTAATGAATTTAGTGTATAATATTCAGTTTTTATGTCCTTACGTTTTAGAAAATCACCAAGAGATGGCGCTTTTAGTAAATTTAAGTTTATTTTCGGTCAATTTAATTAAATATTTTTGTGTTCGATGATGTTATCTAATAAAAATAAATGATCTTCTTGATTCTTGATTTCTGACGTGTAAATTACATCCATGTGACTCAATAGAATTTAAGTATATTGAATGTGAATATTTGCGAATAAAAATGTTACTGTTAAAGTACTTTTAAATATTAATTTTGGATCGCAGCTTGTCCGTGTCAAATAAATATTTGATTACAATTTAATAAATAAATTAGTAATTATTATTGAAGTATTAATATTTAATGGTATTGGGGCTATTTTCGGCGATGTCCTTTAATGCTATATCTGTCACCTGCATATTAACGAAAACACTGTTTTACTTTTATATTTTCTAATATTGTAATGGAAAGTGACTTAATATTTTTATTAAGTCATTTTTCATTCTTGGCGCTCTGTATGAAATGAAACAGGGAGAAAAATAGCAGCCCTTGCCGAGTTTCTTGGCGGTGCTTCTTGGTTTTAAGTAAAAAACTGAAATTTCAAATAGAATATGAGTTATATTGAGTTTTGAAAATTAATTTACTTTTATACATGAAAGAAAATCGGAAGTGGTCATGGAGAAATCAAGAAAGTACCGTAGCGACATCTAGTTTGATTTCGGGAACTAATGTCTTTTTTTAAATAGATACTGCTTCATTATCTGAGCAATAGAAAAAATTATTGTCACTTCCATATTATAATGACTATGTTTGTATCCCACAACTATCTAACATTTTTTACCATTAATCTACAGACTAAGAAAAAATAAACAAGTAGGTATTTTTGTTCCATTATCGATAAGCCAATAAATTCGATACCGTACTTCGACCATGCTGAATATAGGTAGGAGTTAAGTAATCTTCAAAAAATTTAAATTGAGGAATTCAGTCTCGCTTAAGATTTTTTTATCAAAATTGCGGCACACTGTATCATATACTTTTGCGAGATCCAAACAACAATAGCTTTATTTTTACTGAAAGTTCTTTTAATATCTCTGGTCTAGGTATTGGGTATCTTCTTTATCGTCCGGATTGCGAAAGTATGAAATCGAGTATCTGGTGAATTTATCAATATAGCATTGTGAATTATTGAAACATTATTGCTTTAGCTATTTGGAAATCTGAGCATGTATGTGATATTATCTTATTGTGCTCGACGTAAATGAAAATAAACTACAATATCAGAAAATATTTATTTGTAATAGTAAAAACTTTGTATAAAATAATCACTTAAAATGCCTACAGCATTCACAATTCGAGTTCCTTTTAAAAATGTTATATTTTAATTCGACACCTGCAAACAAAAAATCTTTTTCTTCTCCTTTAATAAGCTTTTACATGTAAAATGAAATTGAAACAAATGAAAGATCAAAGAAAAATCTACAAACAGTATGCTTCAAGTTGACGGTCATTCATTATTAAGTGAGATCAGCTCATTGGCTGGTACCATCGACAAAACAATTATACATTTATTTTATCCAAAGACATATCCATACTAATACAACCAGTAGTTCAAGAGCAACCGTCATACGATCTCGCTATCTTATATATATTTATAAAAAAATTGTGTCACGGTGTATGTTGCCAATAAACTCCAAAACTACTGAACCGATTTCAATCAAATTTCACATGTACCCGTATTTTGGTCTAACTTACTGGATAGGATAGTTATCATCTCAATTATTCGCTTATGTCGTGAATGTTAACAAATAAAATGTTCTAATTAATTGTTTCTTAAGCAAGTGTTTATTTAGTGTTTAGTTTTATGAAGTTCTCATAGGTGGCGGTGTACGTTGATTCATTAATAAAATTCTTCAATATCGTTTGACATCTAGGTTGCAAATACACCCAATAGATGGCGCTGTGTTCTAGATGGCGTTTATTCTAAAGTAATCTGCGGTAACGTTTCTTTCAAAGAATCCTTTCGATTAAGTTTTGTGTAAACTTCAGAACTGTTTTTTTTTTTCATCTTTATTTCAAATTGCGTTGAATTGGATCTCTAAAGTTTCAAAGATAAAGTGCTGAAACATATTGGACATTCGTTGGTATTTTATTGTACTATCTTCGAACTCAAACATCAAGTTAATTTCATCATCAGCTCAAAAACAACATCATTTTTGGAAAATATGATGCCCAAAGTAACTACCGCCCGCGACTTCGTCCGTGTGATAAACTAGTAATTCTATAAGAATGTACCATTGATTCTATCAATGAACTTGTTAATATTATTATACAATGTTATAATTCTATTATTTACATATTTACTCTATGCTTTTGGTTGTTTTTGTTTACTGAATTATTAAAATGTCAAATTTAGATAAACAAAGCTATTCAAAAAGAATAATAAACTAAAATAGGTATAGAAATAATAACTATTTAGTGGGATAAAAAAGTATCCTTTTATCTAAATCAGCTTATAACCTATCTGTATACCAAATTTAATCAAAATACGTTCAGTAGTTTCGGCGTGATTGACGGACAAACATCCAAACAAAAAAACTTTCACATTTATAATATTAATAGGATTTAAATTTAAAAGAATATCAACAGGTTCTATAGTCACAGCTAGAATCAAGGCTAGAGATTTAGACGGTCGCTCCGCTGAATTACAATTATGGCACGAAACGTGAGCGCATGGGCGTTGTGCCATATCGCTTACTAAGGAGTAAGCGGGACGGCAATACAATCGACAAAACGATGTAGTTGTGTTGAAACAACAATAGGGATGATGACTAATTTTTGGATGTTTGTTCGTCAGGTAGAGAGTAAAAAAATATTAAACACGTATTTTTTTTTTTCGTAATCATAAAATTACGGCGTTACATTGAGTTGAAATTTCGCATGACGTCACGTTAGAGTACGTTTTCTACTCAACTGTGACGTAGCGAGCCCCCACTCCTCAACTTTAATGCCTGTTATCTAAGCTATTTCTTGTTAAATTAAAGTAAAAAAAATACGTATCTAATATTTTTCTATTATCTGACTGACGGACTAAATAGAATTGCATTTTTTTTTTACCCAGTCATCATCCCTATTAAGCGAGTAATCTTGCAGCACCCAACAGCTAGTCTAATAGTTTACTTGGAAGTCATTGATATTAACTCTGCTCAACTTTACATAAGTTAAAAATAATTTGGGCGTTTTTATTATTTAGGTAAAGATAAAAACAAACACCCATAACAAAATATTAAGTGATAACATAGAATCTAAACATAGTCTCTGGTAAACTTACTAAAGTCCAGTTTTCCCTTTCGAGTGTCTGAATTGCTTTTAATATAACATTTTTTTAATAATGGAGACCTTCTTTCTTTTCCCCTCCCCATCCTCATCTACCACTAAGCCTTCGAAATCACTAGTAATACCTTTAATACAACACACTTCATTCTTCGTTAAGCCCGTCGGTAAATCAATCTTAGCATACTCCTGTCTTCCCGCCAAATCCTGACACATATCACGGACGCCACTTTGAAAATCCTCATCCACATCATAGACAACTTTTTCTTTTCTCTTCTCCGACTTGAAAGCATTCTGCCACAAAGTTTTTTCTTTTTCCGCTGATTTTTTAACGTAATCGTCCAAATCGGCAAGCGCTTTGCCTATATCTCTATTTTTCGGTTCCAATTTCAAAGCTTTTTTATAATATTTCAATGCTAAATCGTGTTTTCCTAGCATCTCATGCGCTTTGCCGCAGTAAAATAAAGCTTTACAATGGTTATCTAAATTACTAATCCTATCTATATTATCACACATAATAAACACATATTTTGGCTTGTCTATTTTACAATAACACACGGCTAAATTAGTATACACTGTCACCTTCAACTTTTTGATCTCTGCTTCTTCGCTCTCATCTTTGGGCATAGACAAACTCAACACGTTCATGGACTGTTGATAGTTCTTGATCGCTCTCTTGTACCTCTTCTTGGCGAATAAGGACTTCGCTTCCGAATGTAGCACTTTAACAGTTTTCATTGTGGTTTCGAATTTTGTTTGCACCTCAATCGGCAAGTCGTTAAACCTGAGATTTAAAAATTAGTTTTCTTTTTTAATCAAAAAAGGACTGACCAACTGCTGAATCAATGAGGAAGTGTTTAAAAAAAAAACGAAAGCACTAGAAAAGCACCTCCACTAGATGGCGTCTCTAGCAAAAGTTGATTTTTGCAACGTATGGATCAAAGACAGTAATTTCTGTTCCTTTTAGCTAAGATATTAAAAAACTAAAATTTTAAAAGTTCGAAACTTAGATATCAATACAAATACGAAAAAGTAAAAATATAATATGAGTTGTTTATTGAGTTTTTTAAACTAATTTACTTTTAAACTTGAAAGAAAACCGGAAAGGTTGTCATGGAAAAATCAAGAACGTGATTTCGAGAACTAGTTTTTTTTAAATACTTCCTTATATAACATTCATATTAAATAACTATAGTCTTTCTTACTAAGTCAGAACTGTATAAACACAAATAGGCCATGCATTAAAACGAGAACAAGAAGAAGAACTATATCCAGTTGCCAAATGGAGAGAATTTCATACGTTAACTTTACTTTGACAAAGAAAATAATAAAGTAAACTGACTTAAAAAAAGTAACTGAAAAGAGAGAAATAATACCACAAATTTTTATCTTCAATAAAATCAATTGGAAAATATTGTAGATCCGGCCCTGTGACCACATACCTAGTGGCCGCGTGTACGTCCTTCACGTCGTACAGCGATATAACGAACAGGGCGGGGTCGGGGCGCACGCGGGGCGGGGCGCCGAGCGGGCCCCACGCGAGCCGCGGCTGCAGCAGCAGGTGGAAGCGGGCCGCGGGGCCCCGGACCGTGGTCACACCTATCTCGACGCCCGGCAGGCAACGGCCGGTGCCTAACTTGATTTTCTATACCGACAAAGAGTTATTTCACGTTTGTAGTACATTTTTTGGCATACACACACACAAGCAGAGAGAGAGAAAGAGATAGGGAGAGAGACATACAGAGAGAGTGAGAGAAAGACAGGGAGAGTTTGAAAGAAAAACAGACACACATACACACACAAAGAGAGAGACAGAAAAACACACACACAGAGGGATAGAGAGTGTGAATGAAAGACACACACATACAAACAGAAAGAGAGACTTGACTTGGACTTGAGATGATCCAGCATTTGGATAGGTGATTACTTCTTAACTCATTATATATCAAAAATGATCTTGCTTCCATTATTTTTAAATGATTATGTTGCATTATAACACCATAGTTTCCTTTTTTTTTAAAGTTCTTAGTCTCTTTTTTTAAAATGTATTGATCTGGCAATGACATGGTTTTTGTAAATGTCATTACTCCTATTAGAGCTGGTGAGTTTTTTGCTCGTTCTTCTTATCAGCCAAAAGACGTCCTGAACGAGCGCTAGGGAAAAAATGTTGGACGATTCGAAAGTACTTTTAATAGTAGGGGAGCCCACGATGCTAAATCGGGATTTACTCGAGCGTCATAGAGACCTATTGGGTTGCGAAGCTTAGATGATAACAAAAAAAAAATTTCATATAATATATACCTTTTCATCGGTGGGGGAAGCGGCTATAGATTTTTAAAAATGTAAAAAAAAAACTGTTGTCGGGACATACTCGAGCGCGTCAGATATTAATATCATCCATGTCCTACGCATTTTTAAAAACTGTCGTATGATAATCTGATCGTTTCCATGATGGGGGTGGTTATACGTAAGGGTTGAAAATGAAAAAAAAAAGTATTTAATCGAGCGCGTCAGATTTTTTGAGGGGATGTCAAGTGAACCTAAAAAAAGCTCTCATATAATAATCTGACGATTTGGATGTGACGCAAACGCGTGACCATTATTAGAATGTGCAAAAAAAAAATCGCCATTTTGAAATACTCAAGCGTGTCAGATTAAGATATATATGGTTCATCTTTATGCCCCAGACGTGATATCTCATAATCTGACGATTATCTGAAGGGATTTTCTTAAACTGACACAAAAATTTTTTTTTTTTCATTTTGTCAAATCATTGAGCTTAATTAAATAGAAAAGTACCGGAGTTAGCATGCAAATAAAAAAGTGAATGTTTTTTTATGTAAAATACTTATATTTATAAGAAAATGATTATATGAAAATTTAATTTTTACAGTATTTTTTATTAATAATCATCTTCATCGCTAGAATCATCTTCCTCTTCTTCTCTTAAAATAACAAAATAAGCAAAAACGTTGGAAATACGATGTAAACAATATCACGCCACGAACGAGTCTGTGTCATCAGCTGTCATGGCGTCATGGCAACCGAAACCAGAGTGGGGTTGGAATGAGAGAGTAATAGACAGAAAAAGAGAGAGAAATAGTGATGCGGAGAAGGAAATATAGGTATCACGTAGCTTAAACGCATTAAATCTTATCGATGAATTTTTATTACTTCGGCTTGTGACAATCGTCAGATTATATATTTTTCGTAATCCTTGAATGATTCCCTTCAAAATAAAAAAGAAATTAGCCACGCTCGAGAATGTCAAAGTGACTTTTTTTTTTACAACTTTGTAGCCTTCCCCCTTCTTTACGTCACTCTCAAATTGTCAGATTAGAGGTATGTACACCTTTTAGCATGTAACTAGCTCACCTTACCTTAATCTGACGCGCTCCAGATTTTCAGATGATCAATTTTTTTTTACTAATCTGATCCTTCGTCCTTGCCGGGCGGCCATTTTTATAGGGCTCATACTTGGTCCAGGTACTTAACTGGGTACAAGGTATCCCCCTGTATATTAATCTGCCGCGCTTTAGTAAATCCCAAAATCCCCGCTTCGGCTCCCCTACTATAAGAAGTCTATTTGAATAAAGATTATTTTGACTTTGACTTTGAGAGAGAGACACATATAGAGACAGCCAGACACACAGAGAGAGACACACACAGCGCTTAATCAATATCTTAAAAAAAAAAACAGCAATCGCTAACACATGGCATATAGTTGCAGCGTGAAGTTGGTAAATATCTTTCAACAGTCAAATTGGAAAGGGTTGGATTAATTTTAAAATAAGACAACCTATGTATATATATATATTTTTTAAATAAATATTATTATTATTAAAAGACAAAATGTTCATAAAAGTTTGTTAGCTTATACAAATAAATAACAAAATCAAGATATTAGACAACAAAAGGAATGTGAGTATGAACCATGAACCTGTCTCAGCATATGCTGCTTTGACTATAACACTGCAGCAGTGATTGTATTCTGACAGGACCTGCGTGTGTGTAATAGACTAGTGATAAAATAAGTAACAGTACTGAAAAAGCTTAGGGACCACTGTATAAAAGAGGGGTCTTTTAATAATTTTTTTTTTTTAAAGAAATTGGGTTAAAACTATAAATTATTTACTATATTTTACTATAAATTATTCAGTGATAATGAAGGTGTAGTAGATATATTTTTGTTGTTAAATTGGTATATATGTGGAGGCACGAAAGTGCCACCAAAGACACCTTTGTTGCTTTCTGGTAGAAAAAAAAGAAATAACTCACTATGGGTGCTCCAGAATTCATTGTCAATGTAGTATCGAAGGGTATCTTGGTCTTTTCCCAATAAGCAGCATAGTGTAACGTCACCTCCGCGTCTACTGGCACTAATGGACCATCACCTGGAACAATATGTTAGTTGTACTCTCAAATATATCTGAAACTATGTATCTTAGCAATTTATCTCTATTTTGTCAGCAACTGATCAATTAATTACTAAATAAGGCAATTAATAATTTCAAAATCCAAGGATAAAAAATATGTAACCCATAATTTTTGTTGCAGCGGCCATCTTGGATTCACAATAACACTGAATACATATAACGTCATGAGAAAACTAGAATGTGTACCCAGCTAAATATATAAATAAACTTTTAAACTTTAGCGTTGCATTATATTATATTGTATAAGACGGGTATTGACGCGATAGATTTTGATATTTAGGTTTTTCACCTTAGGTAGGTGAAAAACCTAAATATATTTCCCGACGTTTCGACCAGGTTACACTGGCCGTGGTCATATAAATAGTTTGTTTCCAATGAGTGCTATCGTTTTTTTTCGCTCACCAGACGGCACGACAGTTGCTAGAGGTCCTATCAAAATTTGTTTACTACGAGATTGAACTAAAATCATACATAGTAGTAATACATAAATAAATCATTTTATTAAAATACCTAACGTGCCCAATATACACTAACCTCTGATTTAGCTGTTCATTCATCCCTCTTATATTTGAACATTTTTTAGCTCCGTTTTTAAAGCACTGACATTCATTGACCCATAATTCGTTTAATGAATCCCAGGTCCCACAAAGTAAGAGCAAAATTCGTTTGTTTTAAAATAAACGCTCGTAATCTCGTGTAGTTCACCAACAAAGTATGATATCTGACATTTTGAAGACCTCACGCTGCACTAGCGCCTCTTGTGACAAATTCAAATGCGTTAGCCCTCATTGCAAAACGCTACACAAGACATTTACATGGCAAAAAGAAAAAAAGAAGAACAAGAAACAGAAACATACCTGTGTGCAGCAATTATGTAAATGAAAAACTAAATCAATTGAGTATGTAAAAAATTAAATACTAGAGTCAAGAGCGACCACGAAATCAAGCTGCAAAATAACCTTCTTCGATGATCAAAATCTTTGCATCTCCACTGGATACGCAGTCCACCATCTTGGCGGCAAGTTCTTTGAACGACAAATATTCCGGCGAGGAGAGCATTAACTCGTCTGTGGCATCTTCTATGTTCTTTAGTAAGTCTTCGACGTCACTACATTCAATGAGAATTTTATCGTAAGATTATGTGCCATTCATTATATTAAAAAAGCAAAAGCATTTATTGACACTTTATTAACTAAATAGGGGTATTCTACTCTGTTTAAAATAATACTTGTAATGGTTTATTTTAACTTAAACAGCCATAAAACAAGTTTATCCGAAAAATAACCCTGTTTAATTGCTTTAAAATTAAATCAAAATTTAAACTATTTCTCTACCCGCGAAAACGCTCGCCATATTCATGACGTCATTGTGATATGTAGAAAAAAACCTTTACTCTATGCACAAAACAGATGCATAGATTTGAAATTAAAAGATGCCAATAAAATAAGAACAATGCCATCTAATGATCGATTACGAAATAAAAAGATATGAATAAGCTAAGAACAACGCCATCTAGGAATTGGATTTATAATTATTAGGTATACCTTTAGATTAATCTGCCAGCTTTGTCGCCACAGTGACGTCACACAATGGCGGGACCTGCACGTGTAGCATGACAAACTCGAGAAACGCTTTGTCTATACACAAATGTCATTTTCTCGGATCGAGAGTGAGATGTTGTATGAGCGCACCCGAGAAATGTGCCATTTGAGTGTAGACAAAACGTTATCGAGTTCGTCATGCTAGGCGTGCTGTTTCAAAGCACGTGACACACAGACAAAAAAAAAATATCTTTTAATTTTAATATAACAAGATAATCATGCTATTTTAAGACTCAAAATCAGAATTTCTATGTTTATTACGATGTAAATTTTAGTTTGTGTGCAATTTCATGAAACATTTTTCACTACTGAAACTACCCTATTGTCATTCATAAATAAACAAAACTAAATTTTAAAATGAGAAGATCTTTGGAGTGTCTTGTGGTCATGATTTCTGAGTAAAAAAAACATGTTAGCGCACGAGTCGAAAGAAGTTGCTATATCTGGTTATTGTACAAAAATCTCCCTGACAATGCTGCTATAGTAGCTCGGTGGTGTGGTAGATAAGCACCGCGGCAAGCGACTTTCGCAAGGGTCGGTTACGGGATGGCTGACCAAAAACTATTATCTCGAGCTACTCCGTGCTTCAAGTGGCACGTTAAGCCGCTGGTCCCGGCTACATTTGCGGTCGTTAATACCGTCCAATCTGCGTTGGGTCAGTGTGGAAGCTCATGGCCCTTTTAATTAAACCACACAAAGGCATGAGCCACTGCAGTGGAGATGTAAAAGGGCTGATGTTGAGAGGACATTTGTAATTACCTGTCTTCATCGTCATCTACTTCAGGGAACGGATCATCATCCAACAGTATGTCCGATTTGTTTTTAAAATCCATGTCTATATGAAATTCTGTTGACGAGGTCATTAATTCTCTGTAACAAAATAATCCATGTCTCTGTAATAATTGTAGCTCGGTGGCGTAGTGGATAAGCGCCGCAAGGGTCGGTCACGGGATGGGTGACCGAAAAATTATTATCTCGAGCTACTCCGTGCTTCGGAAGGCACGTTAAGCCGTTGTTCCTGGCTGCATTTGCAGTCGTTAATACCCTCCATTCCGCAATGGGCCAGCGTGGAGGGTCATGACCCATCCTCCTTAACCATCCATAAGGCCTGAGCCCCTGCAGTGGGGACGTAAAAGGGCTGATGATGATGAACAAAATAATCTTCATTTACAGAAATCGACAATATAGTTATTGTAAAAAAGAATGATTTTATTGTTTGTTTGCAACTAATAGGCTCTGAATCTACTGGACCAATTATAAAATTCTTTCACGTGTGGGAAGCGACATCATATGCGATCAACATATTTTATTCCAAATAACAGAAAATGAAGAGTGAAAATAAGTTTGTATTACGAATTAAAACATTACCATAGTAAATATTATTCAATCTGTCATTGTAATTATATCCGTGTCATGATATCAATTGGTATCCAAATAAATAGTACCCTAGGGACAACACAGACAAAGCCGCTAACAGAAAGCTAGTCTATAGAATATAAAGCTTTTACAAATAAAGGTGTAACAATAAAATAAATATTATGAGCTTATAATGTAATTCTAAATAAGTGCAAGTACTACTCGTTCGAGTTAACATGACACTAGATATGAAAATTGCCGCAAAACTTTCCTTCTCAGAGGAAACTTTCCTAAAAACTTCCGGCAGTTTTGGAAGTTTTGTGGAGTGAATATTTTTTTGACTGAATAAATGAATTTGATTTGATGCACTCTCACTTTTGGGAGGAGGGTGTGGCATCTGCAGGAACTGCTCCACACCCAGACCTTGATGTCTAGACCTCCAGAATATCTTGTAGCCCTAGGCCTAGATTTACTATGGCCTTAGGGTAAATCCACTACTGTCAACTTCTATGAAAAGTCAAAGTTCTGCTGGTTTCAGTATCCAGTGCTAATAGGGAAAACTTGTATTCATTATGTTTTTTATTTTCCCAAGAATCAACTCAGCAATCATCAAATGTTAATTCACCAGAATCAAAAAAGGATATTCACTAATTTTACAAATAAAAATAAACATTAAAGTTTTTTAGGTTTGGTTTGTTGTAAAAGCCAATTCTTGTTTATTTTTAGTTTCCTCAGAAAAAATATTGTTTTTCAAATAGATATGAATGTTTACCAGAAAATGGATTTCCATAAAATATTGTCATTTAGAGTAAACAATATTCTGGTTCAACACCTACATTTATTTGTAAATATGATCAAGTTCCAGGTTAGGTGTCATGTTAACTCGTACAAGTAATAATTTATAATTCTACTTAGTAGCAGTTGGAAAAAAAATTTAATGCAGCAGTCCAAACTTATTCAAGAAGAGACAAACAAAATTAAATTATCAGCACTTCGAGCAATTGTTAGATTAATTTAGTTCTGTAGGTCATAGTTAAGCGACTGACACTGGAAAAAGTTTGAGAAACTGTGGGAAATACAAACGAGGAATTTTTATATCAAATTTTACATTGTTTTTACATTCAAAATTACCTTAGATTGATTCCCTTCGAAAATTGAACAGGATCTTGAAATACTTCCATTTTTTTATTTTTGGTCAAAATTTCTTGCAGAATATGTATAGGTGTATAAGAATCAGAATCGGATGGCACAAATACAAAAGAAACAATCTCGATTATTTTTTGTTTCTTCGTAATTTGCTCTTCTATAAATTAGTTACCATCAAGTTTCAGGTCCATTCCATTTCAGGTTTGATTATTTATTTGCTAAAATTATTACTTATACCGGTACCGGCGATTTAATCTATTTGAAGTTTCCAGCACAGAACACTTTTACTCCAAGTTTAGTTTAGCCCACAGACTTAGTAGGTTATCAGACAGTGTTACCAGGTCATTTTTTTGCCTTACCCTAGACTTTGTCTCGGTTTACCCTAGATTAAGCATATTTTTGAAAAAATACCCTAAACAAATTCCTATAAAAATTACCCACCTTTAGAGAGCTGGTTGATCTCCGGACTGACAACTCGCTTTTTATAGGCGATTAAAATTGTTTTCTTGCATTGCAAATTCCAAAGATTATATTTTATTTTAACCCCCCCCTTCCCGTTGATAGTAAATTTTAAGGTTTTAGATTACAATCCCCCCCCCCCCCCCCACATCAAAATCACGTTTATTTTTAGTACCTACAAAAAAATCTTAATTTTTGACGCCGCTTTTCGGTTCTGTAATCGTTGTGTGTTAAAAATTTCGTGTTTCGATTGAGGTTCAGCTACAATTCAGTTGAAAATATTTCGCGCGATCGGGTTCACTCGTTGATGCCATTTTTCACAACTATAGAGTAAGTACGAAACTACCTTTCACACCTTGTTCACACAAGCTTTCACAACAAACAACCACAGAGTACATACTCCAACAATCTCCAACCACATTTAGGCTACAGACAACAGACACAATCGAAAAAAAGACAGGTAAAAAAAATTATATGCGTTCACTAATTACTACATTATAGTTGCATTCAAAAACACCAAACTGAGAGTTTTTATTTCTTTGGCAGTTGATTAAATAGTATGCTATTAAACGTTAAAGCTTTCAAGCTATTAGCTGCTATTACCCTAAAAAATACCCGCGGAAAATAAATTACCCCAAAAATACCCTCGAAACATTCATACCCTGAAAATTACCCTGTAGAATCAATTTTACTCTAAATCTAGGGTAAATTACCCTAAGTTGGCATCACTGTTATCAGACGACCAACTTCCTAACAAAAAATTTCTTCGTAGAACGTGATTGGGAGCCAGTGATACATGACAGATTCATTCGTTTTAAATATATACATCTACTATCGGCAAAGGCATTTAGCTATACAGCCCTGTTTTGGGTAGGTACCTAGCCGTCTTCCTAGTTTCCACATTATTTTTACTTTAATTTAAATTCTTTTTTTGTTTTAATACAACAATAACAATAAAGCAGACTGATAAGTCTAGCTTATTATTATTGTTGTACTAAAACAAAAAAGGAAAAACGAACACGTAAATGAGACACACATTTGTCCAATATTATTTATTGAATAATTTATTTTTTAACTTATTATATTTTTCACAGCTTTCTTCTGCATTCTCGGTAATTCTTAGCTACGTTTTTTTTAGTGGCACAACCTTATGAAACTTTTCAAGGTAATCACATTTTTTTAAAGAGGGCACTGATATTTAGATACCTTTTTATACACATATTTAAGTTTTTCTAAAATTTCAATTGCCTTTGGCCAGAAAGGATGATTCTCTTTTCCTTTATGCTTTTTAGTTTATCGATGCTCCATTGACACTATCAAATAATTGGTCAAAGAATGAAACAACTTCAGCTGTATTTCTTAATGTTGTGCTGACGAGCCTGCCATCCACATAAGTTGCTGCAAAATAAAATATTCATACAATAATTGTATGAAACTTGATTCAAAACTATTAACTGTTAGTAAATTTCATCTAATACTCACAGAAATTTGCAGTGTAAGACAAAGCTGCAGACATATTTTTACACAATTTTTTACCTGCAAAAAGAGATATCATATTTAAAATTATCTTCATTAGAGAATCATTATTGTAATTAAAGTGTAAACTATATTAACTACTTGTTACATAATTAAAAATACAGGTCATTGAATCAACACTTGCACTGATAGAGAATATAGAAGCTGAATACAAATTATTTCTTTTATTTATACTAATTTAAGTTATACTAATATAATAACCAATGCATCACCTTCATCATTTTAATTTTATCAGGTATAACTCATTGGTCATTTAATTTATGACGTAGCCCAGCTTCAGTGTGTTGACAGTCTGTCTCATAGACTAATATCATGCCATGTTGCAAGTTTACTATCCGATATTAAATTTTTTGTTAAAAAATTGTACCTGATGCATTTTATCAAGTGTGTAGAATCATAATGTTCAAATCCACCCCCATTTTTTAAGAATGCCAACTGAAATAAAAATTTAAGAACTTCTTAAAACATAGATAACAATATAAAAATAATACCCTTCACTACTTTCATGAAATCTATTAGTTTTCTTTCATATAAATATAATTCTCTGTACCAACCTGTGATTTCAATTTAAAATTTGATCACACTAAGTGTCTTCTTTTAGATTTTTAAGTGCTGATTGGAAAGCTGAGCCTTGGTCATATATTATTGCAATGGGATTAAGGTCCAATTCAACAACTTTTTCTACTACTAACTTTAAAATATTCTTGATGTACAGTAGATGTCACTCCTTGACAGAAATACTAACATAAAGGCTGTTGCCACTTGTAAACAGCACCAACATAAATACAAGAGTATGATCTGCAAAATCCACTTTCTTTTCTTGGTGTTCTACAAATCCATTAATGTTATCTTTAATCCTTATTACTTTTATTATACGAAAGTGCTGTTTCTAATGACATCTCATCAAATATAATGGAGCATATTTTTTGGAGTTTCATTTGTCCACCTGAAAAAATAAATTCAAATAGGTAGGTACATATTATTATTTGGTAGTAATACAAAAAATTATAAAAGTAGTATGAAAAACCTTATATGAAATATATTTACCACTTACATGAAGCCTGGTTCTATGATCGATTTTCTAATCATAGTATTCAGTGTAGTTTTGGATCATAAAAAAAAAAATTTGCTTAAAAATCAATAACACTTTGGACTCTGCTTTGATATTGATAAAGCAATTGTCTTTTCTTCGGTAGTGAATCACCTCTCATGTTTATTTTTAGAGCACATGCTTACTTGCATTTCAAAAACATTTTTTGCAACTGTGTTCATTTTTGTCGGAACTTTTCAAATGATAACATTTTACAAAACTTAAAGGTATTTAAGTATTCTTAACTTTATTATGAAAGTTCAACTACGTCTTTGGCTTGTTATATTCTTCATAAATTCTCTGGTATAAAGGTGACAATTGGCTTTATTTGGTAATAAGCCTTTTCCTTTTTGTTTGGGAACATTTCACAGGGTCTGTAACATCAAAAGTATTCAGTGAATTTCTCTATTAGAACTACTATTTGATTGAAATAAAGATACACTAAAGAAAGAGACAAGTCTTACTAGATAATTTAGTTTGTGTCATATTTTAATCTCCAGAGCAAGCAACTAATTGAGTAAACTCAGTGGCTGCAGACACGGGAGTCTTAATTTGTTCTTTTAAAATTACACCACCTATGAAATCAATATTGATTATGTGTGTAAGATTAAAAAACAGGATATAATCTTAGATGATATTAGAAATATGTTATTTATATTATCAATTTATTCTCTGATCAAAATCACTTCTAGTGTGCCCACTAGAATTAAGTAATTTAATGTCATTTTTCTTTATGTGTGTAAGAAAGAGAGATATACTAGGCTTTTTTAAAGCAAAAATCTATATTAAAATACACCAAAACTGCAGCATGAACTTTGTTATCTAAATAAAATAAATTAAAAACAAACCTCTGTTCAGTTCCACTTTCTAATATGTGTGGTCAACATGACTTTTTCTTGCATAGCTGTGTTCCCAAGTGAATATAATTTCTGTAATAAAAAAAAAGTCTAATGAAGAATAGCGGTATTCCAAAACACAACATAAAGTGAAGATACATATCATTTTAATTACATTATCTAAAGGTAATAGCATATTAAACCAGCCTTACCAGTATTGCTTGAAGAGGGTAGGCCGATTGAGAGCCCATCATCAATAAACAATGACGGATATGCATCACCCAAGAGTCATGATTTTGGAGTGATGAATCTTGGTACAACGTGTTTGCTACAAATGACACTTCTGCCTGGATTAAAATTTTCAGTACCACACACAGCACTAAGACATTGTAACCACTTGGAGAATATTTTCTCGTTCACTAGAATCTTATAAAGAATAGCGTCCTGTTCGTACTTTAACAATGCGTGTAACACAACCATAACACAACACACCAATTTCTTAGGCATCTTCTACAAATAAAAATACTTCGAAAAATGTAGAGTTTATATTAAAAATAAAGCGAAGACGGTAAGCACAAAAGAAACTTTACTCAATCACTTGTAATTCCCTGATATGTAGGTACATACTTTAGTCTTCTTCTTCTTTTATTAATGGCATATCTGCGCATTTTACACAATTTTGCCAATGTGAAATGAATAAATTAATTCCAACATGTTACATGAATTAAAGATTGATTAAAACATTACTATCTTTACTCTTTGTTGTAATGACAGTTTCTGTCAGGTGTCATGTCTCCATCTACTGACAGGGGTGAGGGGCGTGAGGAAAAGTCATACATCACTGGACCCCTACGCGATTGGTTTATTGTACGGAGTTGACGGGCCGTGGTTTAGCCAAACCACTGACTAGGGATGTTCAAATATCGTCGATATATCGAAAGTACTCGATGTTTCCATACGATATATCGGATTGTTTCGATGTTTTGAAAAATATTTTTCTATTCGATATATCGAACATCGATACATTTATAACACAATATTGAATCGATTAAATAACGTTGACAGCTGACTCATGATGACAATAAAAGCTAAATAAATTTTGACATTACAACATTTTCACTTTAATTTTTATAACATGACATCAAATTTTCAGACGTCCTAGGGCGAGCTGTACTCGGCAGCTAAGTTTTGCCAAGCCAATTGCTAATAATTTGTTGTAGCCCCATCTGTTTTCTTGTTTTCTATAATAAGATATTTCTCCACTAATTTTAAAAGGTGCATTTTTTCAGCAATTGTGAAATTAGTTGCCCTGGATCTCTTCATTATTTTAGTTCGGCAGTACAAACGGTTTA